AATTGTTCCTCAGTTCTTCATTCCACAGTGCTGGGGCTTGAACCCTGCCCTGTGTCTGTATGCTAGGCAAGTCTTCTATATTTAGCTAATTAAGTTGGCCAGGCTAGGCTTTCACTTGTGATGCGAGGTATTTGGATTACAGATGTGCAGGCTGCCTCAAACTCCCGCTATAGCCGAGTATGACCTTGAATTGCTGACTCTCCTGACTCTAATCATACTCAGGAGGTCACAGGCATTCACCACTAGCCTGGCTTTATGCCACGCTCGGCATGTTACTCAGGGCCTCTATCAGCTGAGCACATGCCTTCTGCCACCCCAACTCAGCAGCCTTCAGTGAAGGTGAGGGAAACAGAGACTGATTTAAGTAATGTACAGTTTGCTGAGAGCTACAAAGGCTTGGACAATTCCTCCTCAGGTTGAGGGCCAGGCCTTAACGATGCCATGTTCCTACTAGAACAGGAAACAAGTCATCTCAAGTCAACTGTCCCGAGGGGGAAGAGAATGTCCCTTCTGCTGAGAAGAGTTCTGGCTGGACTGTTTTCCTTCACATAGATGGTATAGTCTGACAGCTCACCAAGAGGCACAGGCGTCAAGCACATTCCACAGTAGAAAAGGCCTTTGAAGCATGGAGTCTCTATAAGCATGTTTGATAATTTTGGATCTTGATTAAAATGACACCTGTTTCATAATTCTCTTTTATTTTTAAGATTTATTTATTTTATATATACACATGTGTACCTGCAGACCAGAAGAGGGCACCAGATCTCATTACAGATGGTTGTGAGCCACCATGTGGGTGCTGGGAATTGAACTCAGGTCCTCTGGAAGAGCAGCCAGTGCTCTTAACCTCTGAACCATCTCTCCAACCCCTTGTTTCATAATTCTTAGTAGGGAGAAAATAAAATTAATTTGTATAGTGAGAGCATTCTCAGAGATCTGGAGGGCAGGGTGAATAATCTTTAACAAAGACCAAACATTTTGAGTGACTCTTCTTCTGACTAAGCCGTCTGAGTTGTAGCGTCAGCTAAAGCTAATGAAATTCGAGGAACAATTTTTAATCCTAACTTGAGCCTACCTAACATTAACACAAATCCAACATTTTCAGTCTTGAGCCTTGTACATCACAGTGATTGTCACAGGTGACAAGGACTCCTGAAAGGTAATGGTGCCCACCCGGGGACTGCTCTGAATCAGAAGCCAACCTGGGCTACATAACAAGTATCTGCTGCCCAGCAAGATCCTGTCCCAAGAAACAAAATATAAATACATAAAATGCCTATGTATAATTTTAAAAGATTTTATTATTTTTAATTACGTGTGTGGAGTATATGTGTCTGCACGTGGGCGCATGCTCGCGAGTGCAGGACCAGGGTCACTGGAGCTGCCGTGACAGGTTGATTCAGCTGTGAACTGTGGGATGTGGGTGCTGGGATGAACTCAGGTCCTCTGAAAGAGCCACTTCTCCAGCCATCTCTCAGGCCAAGACTGGAAGGGCTAGAGAGATTCAGTGGTAAAGAGTGCTTACCGCCTTGTTCTCCCAGAGGACCCAGGCTCAGGTCCCAACACCTATGTCAGGGTGACTCATAGTCGCACATACTCCCAGTTCCAGGGAACCCGATGCCCTTTGGCCTCTTAGACACCAGGCATAAGTGTGGTGCACATAAACTAACAGACACACAAATATATACATAAATCTGGGTGGTGGTGACACACACCTTTAATCCTAGCACTCGGGAGGCAGAGGCAGGCAGATCGCCGTGAGTTTGAGGCCAGCCTGATCTACAAGAGCTAGTTCCAGGACAGGCTCCATAGCTACAGAGAAACTTTGTCTCAAAAAGTCAGAAAAAAAAAAAAGCTACAAATATACACATAAAATAAAAATAAGTAAATCTAAAAAAAAAAAAAAACCAGACTGTGAAAGATTTCCTGTTTGTTTTGGTTTTGGAGACAAGGTTTCTCTGTGTAGCCCTGGCTGTCCTGGAACTAGCTCTGCAGACCAGGCTGGCGTCAAACTCACAGAAATAATCCTGTCTTTGTCTCCCAAATGCTGGGATTAAAGGTGTGTGCCACCATTGCCCAGCTGAGACTGGAAAAGTTTTAACACTATAAATTGTGAGTTGGATATTCAACAAACTTCCATGAACTCATTACATGAGGGTACCTTGGAACTTCTAGCCCTCCTGCTTCTGCCTCCCAAATGCTGGGATGATGCCTGTGCATCAGGCTCTTCGTCATTAAGTTAAAAAAAATATTTCTGGTTTGATATCAGATCTCACTACATAGTTCAGGCTGGCTTCCAACTCCCAGAGACCACTTCCTCTGGCTCCAAAATCCTGGCATTGAAGGCATGCACCACCACAGCTGAATCTTCCCTTTTTTGAAGATAGGGTGTCACTATGATCCTCAGGCCAGTCCTGAATTTATAATCTTCCCATCTCTGCCTCTGGAATGCTAAGATGATAAATTCTGTGTACCCCTAGCTGTTTTTCCTTTCTTCTTAGAGATAAAATCTATTTGAATAAAGGGGTCTTCCTTCTGTGGAAACTTGCTAGCACTTTGAGAGTGCTCTGTACGTTGGAGGGGTACTCATTTTCCGGAGCATGACATTTGATGGTATTTCACTTTGGGAGGAGGGAAAGGTGCTTGCTGAGCTTTGTGCATGCTGTGCAATTCTGTCTACCAACCACTGCGCTACAACTGAGTCCTAATTAAATCTCCCCCTAAGATACTTTAAAATTTTTTTGTCTTGTGTTTGGAATAGGGTTTTTCTGTGTAACTGTCGTGGCTGTCCTGGAACTCGCTATATAGACCAGGTTGATCTCAAACTGAGATCCACCTGCCTCTGCCTCCCAAGTGCTGGGATTAAAGGTGTGTGCTATCCCCACCTAGCGATACTTGAAATTTGTATTTACTCATCTGCGTGTGTGTGTGCACATCATGACCGCAGTGCACACGTGGAGCAGAAGACAGCCTGCTGCAGCTTCTCCCTTCGGCGTGCTCCGCAGGCCTGTTGACAAAGGCCTGCACCCACTGAGTCTTCCCAGACCAAGATGTTTGGGTTTGCTTCATTCTGACATTATTTTGTGTGTGTTGACTCCGTTCCATCTTGACTTAAGGTCAGAAAGTTCAAACCTATTTTTGATCCTCAAGGCCAGATAACTGGATATTTGATCTACAGCGTGACTACTGGATGTTTTGAGAATTAAGGAATTACACTCATTAGCTCATTGTATCATGGTAAGGAAGCCTTTTGCCCTCCCGTTGCTTGGGGTATATAAGGCTATGAGAAACAGATTTGGGTGGATACAGTATTCACTGAAAGCCCCCCCAACTCTATCTTCTTTTTTTTTAAAAAAAAAAATTCATTTATAAATGAATATTTACACATTTAGAAATGTATAAATATTCTGTCCCCGTGTACGCCTTCAAACCAGAAGAGGGCACCAGACCTCATTACAGGTGGTTGTGAGCCACCATGTGGTTGCTGGGATTTGAACTCAGGACCTTTGGAAGAGCAGGCAGTGCTCTTAACCGCTGAGCCATCTCTCCAGCCCCCCAACTCTATCTTCTGTCACTTGTCTATTTCTTTTCTCCATCCTCACTCCCCTTCCCGGCACTTTCGAGAGCAGGACAACTTTCTGGTGGAGCCATGCAATCACACTCAGGTCAGAGGGCTCGGCTTTGCCTTCACCCATTTTCACCCACTGAGCCATCTCACCGGCCTGTGGCACTGTGAGGGTACCTCAGGGGTTAGGGTCTGAATTCTCTGACCTGGAAGCTTTTCAGGAACTAGCTGTTCAGCTCAGGATCGTGAGGGCAAAGAGCAGCTTCTCTTCCTCCACGGACATGAGCTCTTCAGTCAGCCCCCATGAGGGTGCTCTGTCTTGAGGTGTCCAGCTGAGCCAGTGGGGGAACTGCTGCACTGCCTCCGCTGCCTGGAAGGTCCTCTACAAGCACTAGGTGACTTGCTGCTCAGAAGGAGGATGCCAACAGACCTCTAGCACCCCCTCCACAGTATCTGCCTCTTGCCTAGACACCACCCCTCAGGTCTCAGTAGAGGACACTGTCACACACTACAGGGTCTGGTTCCTTGGAGTTGAGCACTCAGACAGCAACCCACCAAGGTGACATTTTGAGATGCAAAAAGGGGTTGTCAAGAGTGTGCACACACATTACTTGGAATGCACTTATCATGTTAGTAAGAAGTAAAAAAGTACTTTTTCTTTTAAAGAGTTCAAATATTTCTACCCACTTACGTAAAAAAGAGAAAAGGAACAAAAAAACAATACATTATTTAAAATATCTTGTATTGTGCTGCATACTGCCTTCATATACAAGTGCCCCAGTGAAGAGCTTCTTCCCAGGCAACACACAAAACTTGGTTAATATATCAAAGTTAAAACATGTCTCCCTACCAATTATGAACAGCTAATTCTAGATACTAGTTTCCGAAGCTTGTAACTACTAACCTTGTTTCAACACACACACTGCACTCCAGAGGAGGGGCTCCAGCGCACACACTGCGCTC